TTGTACTCTCAATTATGTTGTCTTCCATAAGAAAAAAATGTTGCTTCGGTTGGCCATATAATATGTCCACACAACACAATATATACTGTCAAATTAATATGCGTGATATATATACATAATATATACAATAATGTTTCACCTTTTTGTACAAAAAACGAGTGGGTGTATGCTATGTGATTGTTTTTGTACGTACCATTAATTTGGTTGTTGATCAGATTGATCTTTTTACTTCAGAAGGAAGAATTAATAATGATGAAATTAGAAAAACAAAAATGTCACAGAAGTAGGAAGAGGGCAGCTAGGTACATATATAATTGCTTATCGTAGCAAAAAAAAAAAAAAAATTCTTGCTAAGAGTTTTCTGAAAAAATCCTCAAGCAATGCTGCAAGTACATAATCTAGATGCAGGCATGCCATTTGCTTTGTTGTAAAGTAAGAAGAGAGGATTTCCCCAATGGTTCTTTCCTTTCTTGCAATTGACCTCCTTACAAATGGCTAGAAGAACGTTGATTTAAAATCAAAATCTACACCTTCAAACAATTTGCAAGAGGGATGAATGCTTTCCTACAGAAAGAGTTGCTAAATCTACCTTGGATAACTCAAAGAACTTAAATATTACCATAAATTAAAGTTAACAAGTCTTAAATGAACTAAATGATATGCAAATTAAAGTAAACTTGCAAATAAAAAATGCATCCAAGTTAAACTAAGCATGTTTATTATCAAATTAAACTATCATCTATAGATAGATTTGGAAATCAAATTGCGGCAAAATTGAAGATTTAACCCTAAATAATCATGAACCTAATATTAATAGAGGTTAAACAAACATGTCAGAAATTAAGAACAAGCGCAAATGTCATACAAGTAATCATTTGGAGAAACGTCACTTATCATAAACATTAAAGTATTACCAATCAGAAAAAGAACAGTACCTTGCTGAAATTGAAAAATTTGATGTTCATTGCATAAAAAGAAATTGAAGAAGTAATTATACGAACTAATTTGGCTACTTGAATGCTTAAAACAACCTAAGTCTACTGGGATCTATGTTGAAAATTGAAATCTATAAGTTAAAGTGAGCAATCGTTATGAAATTAGAGAATTGAAAATTTGACAAGTTGTGTGTAGAGCTAGCCATGTGTTGAATGATCAGAAAATTTTCTTTGGTTTATCTCTTCCCCACTTGCAACTTCCCACTACCAAGCAATTACACGAATGTGAGTGGTTTCTTGAAGAAGATGGACACCTCAGCAATGGATTGAATCAGATCTTTGTCTAGATTTCGCCATCTATTCCTACTATTTGCCAACTCACAATCTTAAGTAAGATAAAATTCCTAAAAACTAGCTAAAACAATTCCATCATGATTCAAATAGACAACTAATGGATATATCTCATCTCTTCGATTTCTCCTTTTTTTTTTTTTTAATTATGCAGCATTTGACTTATCAAGGATCTCATAACAACATATCTAATGTCACTTAATTTTATCCAATCATTTAAAAAAAGAAAATGATATGTACACTCTCAGTTTAACATACTTTTCAACATACTTTCAGTTCAACTATTAAAAATATAATATAAATACAGTTGATTTAGTTGATTTCTATATCCTATATGCATGATTGTATTTTTAAACTTGTTTATTTTTAATTTCAAACTAAAAAATAATAATTTTTTAATGAATATATTGTATATTACGTTAAATCAGAGTGTGTACTAATCACTATCAAAAAAATTGTCACATAGCATAATTTTAAGTTTTATAATTTATGATGTAAGCACTAAGGCAAGTTAAGCCTAAATGGCTGTGGGACTTTGTATCTCCTTTGAACATCAAATTGATCACTGTTCCCCTTCATACCAACGAATTAAAAAAATGTTAATTAAGCCTACATATATCTGGTGAAGGTACGCGTTTTAAGATTGAATATGCATCAAGTAGGCGTGAATATGAGTTTTCAAGGCCTCTAAACAGGTGGCCTAAGTTTTAGATCTATTTGGTTAGCCCGAAATGCGAACACCGTTTGAGTGTGGAGCTGGATGTTTGAAAGGCTTTT